TTTTTTTAAAAAAAGCAGACACAGGCCGTTCTTTTCCATATGGTTCAAATCAGTTATGAAATGAATCCTGTAGGAATAATTTCAGATGTTGGAAATCCTTTAAATGGCAAAATCTAAAACAGATTTACTGTTTTCTTGTTTCTTTCTCTCTCTTTTTCTCCTTTCCTTCATTAAGTGATAGGCAAATCAGTAAATGATCTGTTATTGCAAAATACTGGATACCAAGGTAAGATTCCCCGTAACTGCTTATGATGGTGTCATCTTTTCCTGATGACTTAAATCATAAATACTAATGTATTTTTCCCTCCATCTATGGAGATATCTACTGTAAAATACTGGTGGTTCAAAGGTTATTGGTATATTCAATAGTTACCGGGAAGGTGAGCTAATTGTTCATTTGAGCAAGAAAGTTGTTGACTATGTCACTTGAGATAACATAATTAATATGGGATAAAAATAAAATGTGGTTGCGAGGTTTGTTTGAGTTCATCTAAAAAAAGAAAATTTATTTGTTTGGATTTCATTAAAGACATATGATGATAACTTTATTGAGTAGCCTATAGGCCATATCAAAGCACAAGATTCAAACACATATCACCAATAAGATCCTATACAAACAATTTAAAATAAGAGTATGGTAGTTGTAGGATAAGATACATTATAATGTAATACATAAATATATAAAATAGAATTAAATGACATAAAATTATATTTCAATCTACCCAAATCAATCCCATGTATGCAGATCTCAACTGAACCATTTAATTTAAGTACTGTGCTGCATTAAGTGTTATTTTTCAGGTTCTGGCCACACATAAAGTTAAGTTGTTTTGATATGGGGATCCCAATGGGTCATTCATTTAGTATATAGACCAAGGTACCTGTCTCTTAGCCCCTTGAAATGCTCCCCATATCAAAACAACTTACTTTATGTGCAGCCAGAGCCTGAAAACAACATTCAACATAGCACAGTACTTAAACAAAATGATTCGGTTGAGATCTGTATATGTGGGACTGATTGGGGTAGATTGTAAAGGTGACACCGCAATATACTTTTATGTCATTTTATTGTTTTATGTATTTATGTAATAAATTATATTGCATCTCATCCTATAAATATTGTATTTTACCATACTTTTATTTTAAATTGTTTGTATAGGATTGTATTGGTGATATGTGTTTGAACCTTGTGCTTTGATATGATCTATAGGCTAATCAATGCAGCTATAATAATAACATACATGAACACGCACACACACACACACTGCATACCCACAATGCCCAAGACTTTATTGTCAGGGATCCCTGTTAAGCTTGCCTGACTCAGCCACAGAGGGAATGTATCTGTCTAATTTTTCCCCCCACACAATTCCACAGCCATCTGCTTCAGAGGGATGGTGTTTAATTGGAAGGTTGCTAGATAACAGCAGAGTCCCCTTGAAATACAAGCTAGCAAAAATAAATGAAGGAGGACTCAGGTTAAGCATCAACAGTAGGTTCTTTCAGAGCACTGCGGTCTGGACCGTTGCCCAAGAACACTGGATGCTGATGCAAATTCTGACTATAGCTATCACATCATTGCTCATTTAAAAATGTAAAGATAGCCCTTTGGATGAGATTGGGATGCCATTTAATCCTTTATCCTATTCCAAATAGCGCTGCTTGATGCTGCAGGAAAGCCCACAAGAAGGGTGTTGTTGTTGGCCAAGAATCTACATCTGCATAATATCTATATAAACACACCATGCTACTTTTTGTTGAATCTGATCAGTAGTTTATAGAGGCCAGTATTGTACAGTTTGACACCCTCTCTCCATCCTTTTCACTCTTTCTTTCTTTCTTTCTTTCTTTCTTTCTTTCTTNTTCCTGTAGGCAAATAAAAAAAATCATAACACATCCACTTCCAAAAACTGAGCAAACATATCTTGAAAAGAACTCTGAAGATAACTTTTGATTGGAATTTAGCCTTTTTTGTAATCTCCTAGATTTATTCAGGTTTCCAGCCCCTTGACCCTGTAGGACAGAACAACAACAATAACAACTACAACAAATTCAGTTATGAGTCTTTTCCAAATCTCTGCTCGGTTTCATTTCAGATAGTCCTAAGCCACCCACTGAAGATACATTCATCTTATCCGATGAATATGGGAGCCAAGCGAGGTTGAAAAGATCCCCCATTAAAAATCAGAAGGGTGGAAGTTTGAATGTTGAAACGCTGGTGGTGGCAGATAAGAAAATGCTGGAGAAGCACAGCAAGGAGAACGTTACCACCTATATCTTAACGGTGATGAACATGGTAAGGCAAAATGTTTGACAAATAAACCGTGGCTCTTGGAGTGGGTTCAAGCTGGTGCAGTGGTTAGAGTGTAGTACTGCAGGCTACTTCTACTGATCACCGGCTGCCAGCGGTTTGGCAGATCGAATCTCACCAGGCTCATGGTTGACTCAGACTTCCATCCTTCCCAAGTGGGTAAAATGAGGACCCAGATTGCTGGGGGCAAGATGCTGACTCTGTAAACAGAGCAGTGGTGAAGTTCAGTTTAGCATCTGGATCACAGGGAAATGCAGTGTACATTTCGAAATGCAATGTATTTGAATTATGGCTATGCTAGTTTAAAAATGCACACACTAAGATGTTCAGCATTTCAAGAGAATTCTTTGCTTTGGGGAAAGTTTGATAGGAAATGCCAGTCCACATCTGAATGGACCCTTCTGCTTCTAGAAACAAAGTGGAATGTCTGTCTTAGGTTGCTTCTGATTGCTCAGGCTTAAATGCTTCGTCCAGTATTTCTTTCTTATTTTATAACCAGTTCCAGACTACCATGCATATCAATGTAAAGTCCAATGAAATATAGTAAAGTGATATAAGAACAATATGAAAACTTTCCCCAAAGCAAAGAATTCTCTTGAAATGCTGAACATCTTAGTGTGTGCATTTTTAAACTCGCATAGCCATAATTCAAATACATTGCATTTCGAAATGTA